CAACTCTCAGATCTGATATCGATTAGCTACCCTGGACCTGAGATTTGACAACGTTGTACTATAATTTGTGGGTTGCTATGAAAGATAAGTGTTATGCCGACCGGCCAGAGACAATTGGCGCCTTAAAGGACAATATTTGTGAAGGCATTGCTCAAATACAGCTACATACAATTGATAATGTACTTCAAAATTAAACCAATATTTTAGGCTGCTGCATGGCCAACCGACTTAGCCACCTGAATATATATTTTTTATTATTAACCGGAAAAATTGTACTTAAACAAAAATAGAATTTCAAAAAAATATTCAGTAGTTCTTTTTTACAGAAATTTGGAAAGTTTATTATTAAAACCCCTTCGAACTTCAACTATTCTTTAAAATACGTTGGTCCTTGAAAAAATTCTTATAAAATACTCATAAAAATCCCTTGTACCTTGAAGGGTATTCCTTTAAGATATTTTTGAAAAAGTGTACGTCTGAGACCTTGATTTTTTTGAATTGTTTTTTAAAAATAAGCTTTGATCCTTGATAAAATTGAAAAAAAAAATATATTTTTGAAAAATATTTCTAAAAAATAATTTAAACAAGTAACAAGTTAAAAAGCAGTGAGTTCGGCCGGGCAGAACTTTGAATACCCTCCACCATTTGGAACGAATTTGGAAATTTTCAAAAAATACAATCCTTAAAAATTATATTAAAATTCTAAAAATACCGAATTTAGCCGTTAAATTGGGGTCTATACGACGTGGACCTACATAGGTATTGTTTGCCATTAGCCCTTGCCATATTCAAATTCGAAACTTGAAATAAACGGTGAATAATGTAGCTAAAATCATCAAAATATCGTATATAGGGAGGTACCGTTATATCGGAGCTGTGCGAAGACCTGGACCAGCATATACAATTGTCTGTCACAGGCTATAGCATCCATTACTAACGTCAAATACGATATCTCAAACAATTTCGGTGGGTATTGTACCTAAACTCGTCAAAATACCTAATATAGGAAGGTACTGATATATGGGGCCTATACGAAGACGTGGACCTGCACAGACAATTTTCCGTCATAGGCTGTAGTATCCATTACGAACTTCAAATACAAAATTTAAAACAATTCCGGTGAATAATGTCGCTAAAATCATTACAATACTGAATATCGGGAGGTACCGTTATATGGGAGCTATACGAAGACGTGGACCTGCACAGACAATTTTCTGTCACAGACTGTAATTCCCATTACGTACTCTAAATACGTAATTTGAAACTACTCCTGTGAAAAATCTCTTTAAAATCATCAAAATACCGAATATCGGGAGGTACTGTTATATGAGGGCTATACGAAGACGTGGACCTGCACAGACAAGTTTCTGTGTTAGGCTGTAGTATCCATTTCGTACTTCAAATACCAAATTTTAAACAATTCCGGTGAATAATGTCGCTAAAATCCTTACCATACCGAATATCGGAAGGTACCGTTATATGGGGGCTATATGAAAACGTGGACCTATATGGTCCATTTACGAACTTAACCTGCCTACTGGAAAAATAAACACGTGTGCAAAATTTAGTCTTCTATCTCAATTCGTTCGAAAGATAGCGTGATTACAACAGAAAGACAGACGGACATCGCTAAATCGACATAGAATTTTACGCTGGTCAAGAATATATATACTTTGTTGGGTCTGACATGGGTATTTCAAGGAGTTACAAACAAAGTTAATATACCCTCCATAGTATGGTGGAGGGTAAAAAAAAGGTCATTGGTTCAATAGTCTTTGGAAATATTTTTTTAAAAAAATCACATTTGTGGTCCTTAAAATCTAAATTAGTAAAAGAAGACTAACTAACTAAATTTGGTAAAATTTAAATTTTGGGAGAACGGGTAGAGCTGGAAACCTGAAATTTGGAAATAAGATTTCTATTGCATTGTGTGATGTAGGTAGTTATGAAAACTAGTACATATTTGTACTATATGGTAATAAATTTGGTATTTCGCATCGGATGAACCGATAGAGCTGGTATCCTGAAACTTGGAAATAAGATTACTGTCGAAGTGTAGGATTGGAATATGGAGGTATATTTGAAAATTTGCAATTATATACACTAAAATGTACTAAATTTGGTAAAATTTGGATTTGGGTAAAATAATACATCTGGAATTTTGAAATTGGAAATTCGTACTTATGTGTACTAAATTTGGTACTAAACATGGATTTGGGTGAACCGATAGGGCTGGAATTTCAATTGGATTGTATGATGCAGGTTGTTATGGAAAATTGTACTTGTGCGAACAAAATAGAACTAAATTTGGTACAAGTTGTAATTGTGGTGAACCGATAGAGCTCTGAAATTTGGAAATAAGATTTGATTTCGGATTTCTATGATTATTTGTGGTATGTAGGAAACTTTGAAAACTTGAAAGTAATTATGTATACTAAATTTGGTGTGAACCGATAAAGCTTGAATCCTGGTGCTTTTGGAAATGTGTAATATAATTCTTCGAAAAGTACAAAGTGGTACTAAATTGAGTATTGGGTGAAGAAATACAGTTGGAATCCCAAAATTTGATATGTAGGTCTATGTGGGTTTCCGGTTTTGATATCTGGTGGTGGTTTTGCAAATGTGTACTATGATTCTACGAAAAGTACTAAGTACTAGGGTACTAAATTTGGTCTTGGAGAAGGGATAGAAACAAAATTTTGAAATTTGGTATTAAGATAAGATTTAGATTTTGTATTTACCTAAGGTTGAGATTTGGAAGAGGGTTTGAAACAGCGTACTATAATTTTTCGAAAAGTACTAAATTACTAAAGTTGTCGTTGGATGAAGGAATATTATTTATAACTGTTTGAGTCTGAAGTGAGATATCGAACGGTTGAGTACAAAAATCATACGAAAAGTACTAAATGTTACCACATTTTGTATTGAGTGAATTTATACAGCTGGTGTTCCGAAATTTGATATTGAGGTTTATTTTTTATCTGATGGTGGTTTTGCAAATGCATAATATATTTGTACGAAAATTACTAAATGGTACAGATTTTGGATAGCTGTGGTGCTAAGGATGGAAATATGTAGACAGATTTAGATATTCGTACTAAATGCTAATAAGTTTGGTACTGGCTGAAGGAATAGAGGTGAAGTCCTGAAATTTGAAACGGATATCACTTTTGATTTCTAGGGTTTTCATATGAAGATGTTGAAATAGTTTTGGACAGAAAAAAATATTCAGTAGTTCTTCTTTTTATAGAATTTTTGAAAAATTTATATGACGAACCCTGCAGTTTATTTATACAAATCCATTCGAACTTCAAACATTGTCATAAATATACGTTGGTCCTTAAAAAAAATCTTATAAAATATTCATAAAAATCTGTTTTTTCTTGAAGGATATTTCTTGATTTTGTTGAAAAATATTTTAAAAATAAGCTTTCTTCCTTGATGAAATTAAAAAAAAAAAAATATTTTTGAAAAATATTTCTAAAAAATAATTTAAACAAGTAAAAAAGCAATTAAGGCCGGGCCGAATTTTTAATACCCCCACCATATTGCACGAACTTAAAAACTGTCAAAGAAAAATCCGTCGAAAAAAAAACCGCTCAAATGAAAGTCGTTATATGAGGGCTATACAAAGACGTGGTCCTGCATAAGTAATTTTGTCATAGGCTATAGTATAGATTCCGAACTTCAATTATGAATCAAATATAAAATAATCAAAATACCAAACATTGGCAGGGCTATACGGAGACGGGGGCTTGCATAGACAATTTTCCGTCAGGATTGTAGTACGATTACGAACTCCAGATACGAAATTTGTTACAATTTCAGTAAATAATGCCGCTAAAATCAACAAAATTCCGAATATTAAGTGTTACCCTTATATGGGGGCTATACGAAAACGTTACCCTTATATGGGGGCCATTTTCGAACTTAACCTGCCTGCTGGTAAAATACACATGTGTGCAAAATTTTAGCTTTCTATCTCGATTCTTTCGAAAGATAACGTGATTACAACAAACGGACATATCTAAATCGGCTTAGAATTTTACACTGATCCAGACTATATGTACTTTGTAGGGTCGAAAAAATGTAAAAAAATCCTTTGATTCTTGAGTAATATTTCTAAAAAATAATTTTAAAAAATCCACATTTTTTGTAACGGTTTTTGAGGGTCCAATCAAATTTGCATTTGGGTCTCATTACAGTTCCTTCAATCATTTTTGCATTACTTCTATTTCAAACCTGACTAGTTTTAAATAATACAATTTAAATGCAATGTTTGAGGCCATAAATTATAGACTGCAGTGAAAAGATATTCCAATGTTTTTTTTTTCGATTAAACAAATCACCGCTCAGATCATAAATATTTACAAACGTGTAAGGTGGTGGTAATTCGATACCACAATCAAGTAGGTAGCGACAGAAAACTCACCAAGCAGAACAGAACATCGAACAGAAACTAATGAAAATGGCTCAAAGCGATTGAAGCGTATTACAAAGAGGGGGGGGGGGGGGTATCGAGGAAAAGGGGGACACATACAAACCATATATGATATGAAACAAACCAGCCGCCAACGAGTAGGAAACATTGGCATTAGATGGAGTAGAAAACTGTCATAGAGAGAGAGAGGGAAAGGAGAGGCAAACTATAAAATATTGACACCAACAAGATTTCAGGTTCAAGTGCAACAACTGGAAATGATAGGGGCAAACCATATTAAATGACCACAAATCAATTGGAACGCCAACAATTGTCACACACACACACACACAGCGTCACAAAATCAATGGCAGGCGACGCCAGCCAAGAGCGGGCACTGGTTTTGGTAGCGTCTTGGTAAGACTATAGCCTCCTCCCCGGAACATGTTGCTGCCAATCATGGCAGTCGAGCGGTGTTCAGAACTAGAGTCCCAAGGGGGTCTAATGGCTGATGCAACACTTACGATCGACGGCATGCATGTGCGGTCTTTGTAGGGAGTCTCCAATATGGGGTGTTTTACTGTTCGCTCACCATGTAAGCCATTAATATATAAACCATGGCATAATTTCGAAATTGCATCAAACAGTTCTCAGCCCTTTCAGAGCAAACAAATCAACTAGCAAACGCTAAAACAACCAACCAACCAATTAACTAAACAAAATGTTCAAATACGTAAGTTGGCAACCCTCCTGGTTCTAGGATAAAATAATCCATTGCCTTTTTTCCCTCAACTAGATTGCTGCTGTCTTCGCCCTCTTGTTGGCCTTCGCCGCTGCCGTACCAGCTCCTGTCCCAGCTCCTGCCCCAGCACCAGCCCCAGCACCATCTCCCAGCCTATTGCCCTTGGTGCCCGGTCCAGTTGTTAGCTATGTCGGTCATCCTTTGGTCGGCCCCGTTGTCCGTGTTGTCGGTCCCTATGGCCCAGTCTACCCCGGCCACGTTGTTGTCGGTTAAATTTTGAATTGACGACGACGACGACGACGACCCGATCACAGCCATACTTGCCAATTGCTTACATTACAACATAAAAAAACGCCTGCTGCCGCCGCCACTCCCCCCTTTCTTCTTCATATTGTTCAACGTCATTCCGTTTTTGGAGATTTCTTTTTGAATGTCCCATTGTCGTGTACCCTGTACTGTGGAATTTTTCGTTTTTTAATTTCTTAAATCATTTTTTATATTTTTTGATTTTGTCTTTCTCATTAATATTCTCATCTATTTTTTTGCTAAATATAAAAATGTAAAAAATACTCTTAAAAAAATATACACAGTTTTTTGTATGCAACTTCAAAAAGAATCGATTTGATAAAAATTACATTGTTGAGGGTGTGTGGGTATAGAGTAAAAAATAAATGGGGAGCCTAAAAGTATGCAAGATTTCTAATATAGGAATAATGAAATAAGAGCAATAATATTTGCGAGTTAGATACAAAATTAGTAGATCTTGGGAGAGTCTTTCATCGCCATAGGACTAACAAGAATATAAAAGACATTCTGTCCTAAAAAATATCATAAAAGGTCCTTCATCTTCGCTATATGGAAAACCTATAGCAGCATCAATAAATAAAATTCATCGAAATTTATCTACATCCAAAATAATAGCAACAATGGTTAATTTAAAAAGGAAATAAAAAACACGATTTGTTGACAATAACTCAAAAAAAAAATAGTAAAAACAAGTAAAAAAGCACCTAAGTTTGGGCAGGGCAAACTTTAAATACCCTCCACCATTTGGATGGAACTTGAAAATTTTAAAGAAATTTCATAGAAAAATACCGTTTAAATGAAAACTGTTATATTAGGGCTACACGAAGAAATTTTTTGTTATAGGTTGTAGTACCATTTCCGAACTGCAACGAACTAAAACCATTCCGTTGAATAGAGTCGCTTATGTCACAAATATGTAATTTTTTATCATAGGCAGTAAAACTCATAATTCCAGAAAATTTTTCCATGAACCAAGACACGCCACGCGAGCGCTCTGAAATAATTGAAATTTACAAGAAGTCAATTGTCGACCAAGGTAATCGGCCGAGAATATCGCTGCCGTACGAGCAAGTGTTGAGAGGTTCCCAAGAACATCCCAAAAACGCCGTTCTCAGCAGTTGGGCATGGCTCGGTCCACTTTACAACGGATTATTCGCATTGATTTGCATTTGTTCCTGTACAAAATTCAATTGACGGAAAGAATGTTGCCTGCGGACAAGCCTCGTCGATTGGAATGGGCCCAAAGGTCCGTCGAATATGGGCAACCCTGTATATATGTGGGAGCTACATTCTAATGTAAACATATATCTACAAAATTTAACACAAGTAATTCTATGCTATATCTGATAGTTGGCACCAAATATCGTTTATGTGGAGAGGAGAGGGAGTAAAATACAAAATCGTATGAAACATTTATATAATAACTATAGCTATATCTTAAGCGATTTTTCGATATTAGCCACTTGGTTCACAATAAACCTGAAACCGATCTTAATAAAATTTGACAGCGGTATTTTTGGGCCGTATCTGATATCTGGAGTACTTGTGGAGTGCATACCACGAATGTGAGTGACTTAATAAGCATGTCTACTTGCTTCTAGACTGAATTCGGTCAGATGTACCGAAATTCAGGACATTTGGACTATATTGGCCATTTGGTGCACAATTAACCCGAAATCTATATTTATGGAAGCTATATCTTAATTTGAACCGATTCTCACCAATTTCAATAAGATTCGTCCATGGGCCACACAAATATTGTTTGGAAAGATTCATCTCAATCGGATAATAAATGTGTCCTGCATTTTGTTCACAAAAATACATGGACAGACGGACGGACTGACATGCATAAATCGGCTCAGAAAGTGGTGAAGATCCTCAAACGTAACTATGGGTCTATTTAGCTTCTTTCTCCAAATGCACATACCACTATGTGGTGTAGGTTATAAAATCGACTCAATTTTTGGCAAATTGTCGTAAAAAATCAAGTCAATTAAAAAAAAAAACATTTTTAAAAATAAACAGTAAAGAAAGTCTTAAAGTCGGGCGGGCCGACTTTATGATACACCAATTTGCTAATTTAGTAGAGCTCCGCATAACAATTAAAAGTTTTTATGGGAGAATTCAATCATACACGCTATGATTATAATTATAATTCAAAGTTCAAAGGACTAAATATGCCGAAGCATTTGTATCTTCTAAATTCCGAGTTGTATTGTCCATTTGGTGTACAATTATTTTGAAATCGGATAAAGATATATATGGGGCTATAGCCAAATCGGAACCGATTTCAAAAAAAAAATTGGCAAAGATATTTCTGAGCTGTATTTGATTTATTTCCCTGAATATCGTTGTTACGGGGTGCATATTACGGCTGCTGAGGACAAAAATAACAAATTGGATGAACAATATATATGGGAGCTATAACTATATCTGAACCGATTTCGATCAAATTTTGCATACTTATTTTCAGGCAAAATTGTATGTGCAAAATTCCATACTATTCGGGCTGATATTACACGTTTGGTGCACAATAAAAGGCAAAACGGACGAAGATATATATAGGGGCTATATCTTAATTTTTAGCGATTTTGGGTTCGTCCTTGGGCCAAACAAATGATTTGTGCAAAATTTCATCTGGATCGGGTAATAAATGCGAACTGTACTTTGTTCACAAAAATACATGGACAGACGGATCATCGAATGCAGATCATCGAAAGGAACTATGGGTCTATCTCGTTTCCTTTTGCCTGTAACAAACAAATGCACAAGGACATAATACCCTGACCACCTTGTGGTGCAGGGTATAAAAATACCGTTTCAATGAAAAGTGTTATATTAGGGCTACACAAATCATAGTATTTTTGTCATAGGCTGTAGTACCGTTTCCGAACTGCAAATACGAATAGTGTCGCTTATGTCACAAATATGTAATTTTTTGTCATAGGCCGTAGATCTCATTAAGATCTTAAAATACAACATTTTAAGTAATTCGGGTGAATAAATCATCAAAAAGAATATCGGGAGGAATCGTTATATGAGGCCTAAATGAAAACATGGTCCGACAAGGCCCATTTACGAACTTAACCTGCCTACTGGAAAAATACACATGTGTGCAGAATTGTAGACTTCTATCTCTATTAGTTCAAAAGACAGAGTGATTAAAACAGACGGACGGACGGACAAACAGATGAACATCGCTATATCGACTTAAAATTTTACCCTGATCCAGAATATATATACTTTGTAGGGTCTAACATGAGTATTTCAAGGAGCTACAAACGTAATGACAAAGTTAATACAGGGTGAGATAAAAAAAACTGCAACAGAGTCAAAAGCCATAATTTTTACTTTTTTTAAATTTTATTGAATGAAAGCAAAAAATATCGGTAATGGCATCAAATTTTAGAATATGTTTAGATTTGTTCGGATTGGTCATCTTTGGCACGAATTATGGCCTTCAAACGGCCAATGGAACCGTCACACGCTGCCCGAATGTTGTTGGCCCATTCCCGGCGAAGCGCTTGCTTGAGGTGATCGACACTTTGGTATTTTTTTAGTGCCAACCTTGCTTTCCAAAATACTCCAGACACAATAGTCCAACGTGTCGATTGTGCGCTGGAAATGAAGCGAGGAACCTCATTTTGTAACCATTCTTAGGTGGCGCGTGCTGAGTGCGATGGTCCTGTTAAAATGCCCAAGGTCTGCGGCCACAATGTTTGCGTACCCAAGGCTTTAATATACCGTCCAGAATATTTTCGAGATAATATTCGGCATTTATTCTGATGCTACGGTTGATTAATACGAGCGGAGAGCGACCATCGGCTGTTATGGCGGTCCACACCATCTCAATGGCCGGCGCTTGGTTTCTGGTGGCCAACCGGAGGTGCACATTTTCAGCTGACCTCTTTGGCAAGTAAACACAATCATTTTGTTTTTTTACAAACTGCTGGACAACGACTGTTTTCTCATCAGAGAAAACCAAAATTCGGCAGTTCACCACTTTCGTCCAAGCGAAGCAACTCTTTACCTCTTTTGAGTATATTTTCTTACTGTTGTGGTGTAAGTTCTTGCAACTTTTGGATTTTCAATGGCTTTACCCAGAGCTCATTTTTCAATATTTGCTAAATGGAATATTGCGATATATTCAGCGTACGAGCCATTTTCCGTCATTGCGACGCCGGTTTCGTTCAAGTCGCTTCTTTACTTTTCGAACTATTTCTGCTGATGTTGCTGTTTTCCTCCGTCCACTTCCTTGACGTCGGGTTACGCTACCAGTATCACGGTAACGAGCGATGGTACGAGCGACAAAAGATTTATTCACATTTAAATGCTGGAGTGCTCTAACGAAGACCACTTGTGGTTTCCAGCCAAAAATAAAGAAATCACAATTCCATCAGGAATAACTTTTTTTCTGGAAAATTCTCATGAAAATGCTTTTGTACGCTTGTTAACAATATAATGAGCTGTCACTGGAATAATTTTAATAGCTGCCAGACGAGTTGCTTAGAAATGACAACAGTCTGAAGTTGGTTGCAGTTTTTTCATCTCACCCTGTATATATACTTTGTAAGGTCTAAAATTATTATTTCGAAGATTTTTAGAAAGCCACCAGCAAAATTACCGGTGAATACAAATAAAATGAATTTGCTTCAATAGCTATAAAATACTTTAGTTTATAAAACCTTTTACAACACAGAACATCAAAAAGCAAAACATGCCTATACATCTCACTGTGTATAGGTATGGGGCATATTTATTAGGAATTGGAATAATATTAAGAATTGGAAAAATAATTATTATAATTTTTTTTCATTTACCTGGATAACATTCTAGAGATGTGTAATCCAAGGAAGCTGAAAAAGATGAAAAATGTAAATTATTATTTTGGTATTATCCAAGGAAATTCAGAAGAAGCGCCATTAAGTTCAATACAAAACAAGTTGCAAATATCAGTCGATTTCGCCGACAGACGTATGCCCTCAGCCAATGTTCGATTATTTAAATATATTTTGACTTATGTTGTGATTATTCAAATAGTTGACCCTCTATGGAGTACGTTTCGAAGGAATGGGTCAGTATTGTCCATTTCATATCGGACCAAAATAAATATGATATAAATATTGCGACACGCCAGCTTTGGACAATATCGACTACTTCCTTTAATTTATTTTATAAATATGTGACAATTTTTGGAAAATGTTGAAATGTGCGTCAGGTACCAGATATAGTGGACCGATGTATTACATTTTCACACTTCATCCTATCCAGATAAAAATATTGGTATGGGCAAAATTACAAGAAAATTGAACATTAATATCCAATTTTATGCGAAATCATAAATTCCACATTCATCTCAGGTTTCTGGTTGAGAGAAATATTTAGATATAGGAAGTTGTAACGAATCGCTGACTTATTTCGCAAGTTATGACAGATATTGTGTTAGAGAAAATGTTTGTATGTGTGAAATTTAAGAGGTGCCTACTTCGCCTTCTTTGAGAGTTTTTTTTTTTATCAAAATCTTCAACCCATATTGAATCTTGAAGGAGGTACCAGAAGAAATGGTCTGACCTCTACTATCTTCATAACAAATCCTATGTTGATGGAAATATTGAGATGTACCAAGTCTGAATGGAATCGGATGTAGATACGGGTTTAAGAGCTTCATTGATATTCAAAATTTTGACCCATTGTGGAAGGGGTACCAGAAGCAGTGGACCGATACATTCCAACTTCACAGCAGATCTTGTGTTAGTAGAAATAATGAGATGTGTGAAATTTGAAGAGAAGCAGATGCTTATTTCGGATTTTATATTAGTTTTGGCTATTCAAAATTTGGACCCTTGTGGGGGGCAGTACCACAAGGAATAGGCCGATCTCTACCATCTTTATAACAGATCTTGTGTTAATGGAAATATTGCGATGCACCAAGTCCGAATGGAATCGGATGTTTATTTCGCATTTTATCAGCTTCATTGATATTCAAAATTTTGACCCTTTGTGGAGGAGATACCGGAAGCAGTGGACCGATACATTCCATCTTCACAGCAGATCTTGTGTGAGTAGAAATAATGAGATGTGTGAAATTTGAAGAGACCCAGATGCTTATTTCGGATTTTATATTCTTTTTGGTTATTCAAAATTTTGTGGGGGCAGTACCACAAGGAATGAGCTGATCTGTACCATCATTATAACATGCCTAGTGCTGATAGAAATATTGATATGTGACAAGTCTGAATGGAATCGAATGTTAATTTCGCGTTTTATGAGCATCTTGGATATTCAACATTTTGAGGATTTGTAGGGAAGGTACTAGAAGGAGAGGACCGATATAGTCCATATTCACTGTGTGTAGTTTGAAGACAATCGGACTCGTACATCACATTTTATAAGAGTCATAAATATTCAAAATTTGTAACCTTTGTGGGGGAGGTACTTGATGGTGTGGGCACCAGACCTAGCACTGACTCATATATTGGGATTTACAAAGTTGGAACTAACTCGGATTATCCTTTCTCTTTCTATGCAGTAACATATTTTTTTTTATACCCTACAACACTATGTGTTGGGGGTATTATAAGTTTGATTGGGCCAGAATTTATGTAACACCTCGAAATATTGGTTTCCCATATATGAAAGTATATATGGATCTTCCTAGCTCGCCGAGCTGAGTTGATCTAGCTATGCATGTCCGTCCGTCCGTCTGTCCGTCTGTCCATGTTAATTTGTAATCACTCTACAGGTCGCAATTCCGATCCGTTCTTCACGAAATTTAAAATGGAGGCGGGGTTAGGGTCAGAATAGAAGCCTTTTTCTTTTGGAGATGATCGCCAAATGTTTAGGGGTTGAAATGGACCAAAAACTGAAAAAATATCGGATTTTGCAGTAGCTATACAGGTCGCAATTATAGACCAATCGAATTTCTCGGAATTTCGCATATAGCTAGAGTTTAGGGCGGGGAAGAAGCCTACCAATTTGGGTGGTCATCGGATAATATTTAGCGGGTAAAATAGACCTTATCTTTTGTGTTGAAAAATTCAAAATTTTTCATTAAACCGTGAATATTTTAAATCCCGTCGAAATCACAAAGCCATGACAGGTTATTTCTGACCTTTACATTGATGTTAACATCCAACAAATCGGATATATAGCAAAATATGTGCGATATATATGTTTATCAAAGAAGATATGCTTGAAAAATCTCTTATATGTCGAGAACGGCTGAACTGATTTCGACAGTTCTCATTAATTCAGAATGGCCTCTTGGCAGGAAAGAAAAAACGTCTAAAAAATCGCATAAAAATATCTCTCTAAAGGTGAAAATATTGATTTTGCAACTTTTTCTCATATTTTTTCAATTTTGTCATATTTTGGCATATTTTCATTTTGAATTAAACATTTGGTAATATTTTTACAGCTAACAAAACTAAGTAGTTAGGATATCAGGATATCATATACAGATCGCATTTATGGTCCGATCCTTACGAAATTTTGCATGGGGATAAGATGAGGGTCAGAATAGATGCCTACTCTTTTTGGAGATGATCGTTATATATTTAGGAGTTGAAATGGACCAAAAAACTGCAAAATTGTCAGCAGGTCGTAATTATTGCCCGATCCTCACGCACATTTGAATGGGGGTTACCCCACATTGCAAAAGCCAAGCAGTTTCGGATAGCCATCCAAAAATATTCAATGTGTGAAATAGTTTGCCAACTTTTGTAGACAAAATACGAAAATGTCCATTCCAGAGACATTTTGGAGAATTCACAAATGCAGGAAAGACTCACTTCTGACTATTTCGTTAAAGCTGATTTGGTTGAAGAATATAGTCAAATGTCTGTATCTCATACAGATGCGTTTCAATCAAAAACCAATAATAAATGTTAATCTTTTGCCACTTCTGAGAGATTATAGGTCTTTGGGAAACATTGGTTCCAGATCTAGGAAGACCATTTACGTGCAACATCTACCAATAAATTGGAAATGACCAAATTCGTTTAAGTTGCTATTATTCGAAAATTAGAGAACGAAACCTGATGGTTTTCTTTTATTATTTGTCACAATATCTTGTCGAATTCTTTCGAGTATTTCGCCTATATAAACAGTATCGTTTATTGTAGTGTTGTAGGGTATTCAACGGTCGGCCCCGCTCGACTGTAGCCTTTGCTTACTTGTTTTTTGATAATTTCAACCTTTTGTGGAGGAGGTACCAGGTGGAGTGGACGTATATTGCCCATCTCCGAACTCGATCAAAGTTTGATAATTATATTCCGTTATACCAAGTTTGGACCAAATCGGATACTACCTTCGAGAGTTATCGTGCGCACCAGACAGACAGATGGATGGACATCAAGAAATCGACTCTGAATGTCCTGAATTGGATTTGATCTAAAGAAACATAGGATCTAAAACCACTATGTCGATGAAGCGCGTTTTGGACGTATCAAATGATATATACCCCCTGTAGTCATATGGCTGAGGGTATAATTAAAGTGTAACGCCCATTTGAAAATAATTGTTGTTGTTGTAATAGCGACAATGTGATGATTTGTTTGTAGACGGATTAATCCGGTTCTGCTTCGATGTTAAGATTTAGGAGTTCCACTTCTTCAGCTGCAATGGATGGGAGGTGGACTCCGAGCATGGCGTTCATACTTTAATTGTTAACTACGTATGTAAGTGCATCAGTATGAATGCTATTCAGATTCGCTTGATGGGCTTCATGATCTTGCTGGTAGCTCAATATCAATAATATCGAATAATCAAAAATTTACCTTCACATTAAGATTGATCTTAATTTTCAAATATTCAAAGTTCTATCGGTCCATAACAATGTGGTACACTTTTTAGTACTATTAGTACAAAACTTGTGCCGTCCGTCACACCTTAATACAAAGAGTGATTTCCATGCTGAATATCCAAATTCAATCCTTCGGTTAAAATTCTATACTATTTTGTGCTTTATGGTTATTTTTGATCCATTAAAGTTAGAGAAGTTAGTTAATATTCCGACTCATCTCAACCAAGAATGACCCCCATACCAAATATCAAAGTTCCATTATTATTTTTTTTTCAAAATTTATTTAACAAACAAAACTTGATCCTACATCAGCTAACAACAATTTCCCAAATATCCTCTAATGATGATGGTGGACAGAGACCAAAGGAGCAGAGTGTACAACGGGAACGGAGTGGACAACTGGAACAGAGTGTACAACAGGAGCAACATGATGGACAACTGGAGTATGGACAGTCTTGACAACGGGAGCAACATGGTGAACAGTCTTGACAACAGGAGCAACATGATGGACGGTCTTGACAACGGGAGCAGCATGAACGGTGGTCTTCACCACGGGAGTGTAGACAGGTTGTACGACAGCCTTGTTGTGGACTTGGGTAATACTTTGATGGGACACAGCTGAGGGTGCGGAGTGGACAACATGTCCTACCTTGGCTACAACGGGTTCATGGACCACATGATGGGTTTCCAGGATACCAGCGGAGACGGCAGTGGCGGCCAAGCAGAGGGTGGCGAAAATGGCAGCCTAAAAAGATTTATAAAAATTGGATATGAATACAAATTGTAATTTTTATTAAAAAAAAAGTAAACTTACGAATTTGAACATTTTGTTTATGGAGAGTTGTTTGATAATACAAGTTGTATGTTGTATGAGTAAATTGTTACTGATGCCCTTAGACCAGGAGATTGAGACTTTTATACAAAATACAATTCTGTGCAGATCTCTTATGAAGTTTGTTAAAATATTTGGTTGTTCAAATTGTGGTCCACCTTGAATGCACTTCGTAGAATAATCCCTCTTTCATTCTCTGCGAGTGGGCCCTTTTTTCAAAATCATAATCTATTGTCATAACCTCAACAAGTGCTGTCAAACCATTATCATACCCCTGGTAAAGGAGAAAAAGAACAAGCTGAAATAATCAAAATAAACCATCAGATAATTGAGTGGCGATGTGGAAGCGTTAAGCGGCCTAAAAGACTTCAGGCCCACCAATATGTGTCAGTAGTGCGCATGCGTTTTGTCCAAGCCAAGCCAGCAGCTTCAACTTCGATTGAGTCGCTTGATTCAATCAAACGGGTTGGTATTTGTAGCTGGTAATCAAGCTGCGGCTACTCGCAATGAAGGCCATTTTTATGATTTGTTTTTTGTTTTCGACAGCTACTGTTTGACTGATTGCTCCGGCATTGTTGGAGGGCTGGCGTAGCGCCTTCAGATACTTCAATTTGCCATATGGCTCGCTGGCTGGCTATTCTTCCTCATGAGAGTTTTTGTTTTTTTTTATAATTTTTTGATAAATTGTTTTTTGCTCCAGAGCTGCTCACAATGACTGGTGGATAAAATTGAAGGTTTGCATTAACGCCTGTTTAAGTTGTAAATCCATAAAACTCCGCCAGCCACTTATGTGCTCTTTAGCCAAGAGCTTAGTATATAAAGTCCGCCAAAGAAGTTCTAAGGTATCAGTTCGAGCTCAGCTTTTGTTCCATCAACAACCAATAAACCTCAAACCCCCTCAATCACAACAAAATGTTCAAATTCGTAAGTTCTAAAACAAAACAAATAATTCCGAATTTATTTTAATAAACATTTTTAAAATAGGTTGCCATTTTCGCCACCCTTTGCTTGGCCGCCACTGCCGTCTCCGCTGGTATCTTGGAAACCCATCATGTTGTCCATGAACCCGTTGTAGCCAAGGTAGGACATGTTGTGCACTCTGCTCCCTCAGCTGTGTCCCATCAAAGTATTACCCAAGTCCACAACAAGGCTGTCGTACAACCTGTCTACACTCCCGTGGTGAAGACCACCGTCCATGCTGCTCCCGTCGTTAAGACCGTCCATCATGTTGCCCCTGTTGTCAAGACTGTTCACCATGTTGCTCCCGTTGTCAAGACTATCCACGCACCAGTTGTCCATCATGTTGCTCCCGTTGTACACTCTGTACCAGTTGTCCACTCCGTTCCCGTTGTGCACTCTGCTCCTTTGGTCTCTCTCCATCATCATCATTAGAGGATGTGCGAAAATGTTGTTAAAAGGATATTGTATAAGATTTGTTAATTAAATAAATTGTTGAAATAAAAAAAAAACATTTTTAATTTTTAATATTTAAGAATGACAAAAAGGGATACAATCACGGATTTTTTTAAGAATATTTTTCCGGCCTCTTGTGGATTTTAAAAGAATAATTCTGTAGAGCCTCTCTTGACTCATATTTTTTTTTTTTTTTACTAACCTCGCCCGGGCATGAGCATCTTCTTAAAAAACTACTAGGACATAGGAACATGGAAAAATAATCCTAAAGAATCAACGGGTAAATAGAGGGTGCAAGACGATCTTCTTATAAAATCCACGATAAAAAAGGGGCCTTGCAGAAATGTTCTTAAAAAATCAACGAGAACATTATTTAGAAATCCATGATAAAATAGAGGTATTTAAAATATATTCTAACAAGATCTCCCATTACAAGACACCTAATAAGTCGTGACTTTGTATAAATAAATGTTAAAACCCCCATTTTCTAGCGAGATTAAAAATATTTTTTTAGGGCCCATAGTGGCATATTTTAAAATACGCTTTTCAAGACCCCAATTTACTCGTGGATAAAGAATTTATTTTCCCAGGCCCCTATTGGCATATTGGACCCTTCTACAGTAGACACATCTATTACGGTCCAATCTCGTGAATACTTGGGACGAGTTGTTCGGTAGATGGCCTTTGGGCCTATCTACTACTCTAAAGTAGATGGCCTTTGAGCCCATCTACTCTACAATAGATGGCCTTTGGGACCTTCTAATATACAGTATATGGCGTTTGGGGTCCATCTACGCTATAGTAGATGGCATTTGAGTCCGTCTACTCAACAGTTGATGGCCTTTGGGCCCATCTACTCTACAGTAGATGGCCTTTGGGCCCATCTACACTACAGTAGATGGCCTTTGGGCCCATCTACTATACAGTAGATGGCCTTTAGGCCCATCTACTATACAGTAGATGGCATTTGAGCCCATCTACTCTACAATAGATGGCCTTTGAGCCCATCTACTCTACAGTAGATGGCCTTTAAGCCCATCTACTCAACAAAAGATGGGCCTTGAGCCAAACTACTCTAAAGTAGATGGCTCTTGAGCCAATCTACTCTAAAGTAGATGGCCCTTGAGCCCATCTACTCTAAAGTAGATGGCCTTTGAGCCCAACTACTCTACAGTAGATGGCCTTTGAGCCCATCTACTCTACTCTTATGGAAATGGGTCAGTCCCGTCGCGGCACTAGAGGTTTTTCTATAAACAAAATTCTTAGGCCCCCGGGACTAGGGATTTTCTACAGAAAAATTCTAAGTCCTTCCAGATACTAGATTTTTTCAATAGAAAAAATTCTCAGGCCCCATGACTAGAGTCAGAGGCCCCAGGACTAGAGTTTTTTCTATAGAAAAAATTCTCAGGCCACCAAAACTAAAATTTTTTCTGTAGAAGAAATTTTTAGGCCGCCAGGACTAGAGTTTTTCTATAAAACAATATCCAGCCTCCTGCGAATAGAATTTTTTTCTATAGAAGAAATTCTCAGGCCCTCGGGACTCCAGTGTTTTCAATAGAACTACAATTTTTCTATAGAAAAAATTCTCGCGTGTTTAGGGACTATAGTTTTTTATACAAACAATTATGTGGCCTTCAGGGACTATAGTTGTCTCTGTAGAAAAGTTTCAGTCGCCAGGGACCTGAGGTTATTTGGGCTAGATTTTTTTCCTATAGAAAAAATTCTTAGGCCCCCGGGACTAGGATTTAAAAAAATCTTAGGGCCCCCGGGACTAGGAATTTTTTATAGAAAAATTCTTAGTCGTTCCAGGTACTAGATTTTCTCAGGCCCCGTGACTAGAGTTTTTTCTATACAAAAAATTCTCAGGCCCCGGGACTAGAGTTTTTTCTATAGAAAAAATTCTCAGGCCACCAAAACTAAATTTTTTTCTGTAAAAGAAATTATTAGGCCGCCAGGACTAGAGTTTTTCTATAAAACAATATCCAGCCTCCTGCGAATAGAATTTTTTTCTATAGAAGAAATTCTCAGGCCCTCGGGACTCCAGTGTTTTCAATAGAACTACAATTTTTCTATAGAAAAAATTCTCGCGTGTTTAGGGACTATAGTTTTTTATACAAACAATTATGTGGCCTTCAGGGACTATAGTTGTCTCTGTAGAAAAGTTTCAGTCGCCAGGGACCTGAGGTTATTTGGGCTAGATTTTTTTCCTATAGAAAAAATTCTTAGGCCCCCGGGACTAGGATTTAAAAAAAATCTTAGGGCCCCCGGGACTAGGGATTTTTTATAGAAAAATTCTAAGTCGTTCCAGGTACTAGATTTTTTCAATAGAAAAAATTCTCAGGCCCCGTGACTAGAGTTTTTTCTATCGAAAAACTTCGGAGGCCCCGGGACTAGAGTTTTTTCTATAGAAAAAAATTCTCAAACCACCAGAACTAAAATTGTTTCTATAGAAGAAATTATTAGGTAGCCAGGACTAGAGTTTTTCTATAAAAAAAAAATATCCAGCCTCCTACGAATAGAACTTTTTTCTATAGAAGAAATCCTCAGGCCTTCGGGACTCCAGTGTTTTAAGTAGAACTAGAATTTTTTTCTATAGAAAAAATTCTCGGGTCTTTAGGGACTAGAGTTTTTTATACAAAAAATTCTGAGGCCTTCAGGGACTATAGTTGTCTCTGTAGAAAAGTTTCAATCTCCCTGGACCTGAGGTTTTTTGGGCTAGAATTTTTTTTCTACAGAAAAAAAGTTTTCATGCTCCACTGGGCTAGATTTGTTTTATAGAAACATTTTTCTGGCCCCAGGGACTAGCGGTTTTGCTGTAGAAAAATTCTTTGACTACCCAGGACTAGAGTTTTTTTTCGTGAAAAATTAGTTTATTAAAAAATATAAATGATTCAAAATACGATATCAGTATTATTCCATTTATAATCAGTAGCTGGAATAGTTAATTTACTTTTTTATTTATTTTTTTATTATCTCTGTCTGTAAGTTATTTTAGTTTTGAGAAAAACTCCACATAAATCGTGTCAATGTCAGTCATGCAGACCTACAAACCTACTTACCTCTTACATTTTAATGAAGCATTTCAAGCCCTCATCTGTCTGTTGATCTAAAACAAATGTCCTTAAACTAGATTAACATAACAACTGTTAATCTCGCTGAAAAATTACAAACCTTCCAAAAAAATAATTTGACATAAAACGTATTTTTATGTGTTTTCAGAATTGCCCGTTAATCACAGCTCCTTTAAAGCGAAATCTGAGATCAAAGATTAATTGAGAAGCGTTGATGAGTGATGGCAAGATATCGAGTGTTCCATGTGTTTAGTGGCCAGATTTATGCACTTTTTTATGGGCCACTTAAGTGGCACTTGTCCAAACAATAAAAAAATACAAAAAAAAAGAAAGAAAAACAGACACAAAAAATAAACATGAAATATAGTGGCGTTCACAAAAAACTTCATATGTGTTTTATTTTTTTTTTTTTATTTTGGCTACCTCAGAATGAGGCAAATTGCCAGACTCCACAAAACAAAAATTGAGCCATTAATGTAATGATGCCTTGTAATATACGACAGACATTTAGTCTGTGTTGACGATTGTTTACTGATGTCCGTCTTGCCGTATGTCAGCCAGCCAATTAAATTTAATTGATTTCTTCGATTTAGTCTCATAAGCCGAAAAATAGCCTTTGAAGCCAAAGGATGATGATGATGTGCAAGGTCGAATAATGGGATAATCAGATTATTTTTAATGCCAAGATTTAAATTCTATTTTTTTTTTTTTTTTGTGACAGCTAACCTTTATATAGTCATTCGTCTATTTTTTAAAGTCGAAGAACAATTGGTCCCAATGGACCAAATTTTGCTTATCATTACAAAGTTCAAAATGATTAAAAAGTGTCAGTCGGTTTTGCCGGAAGATGTATACCCCAAGCCAATATTCGATTATTCAAATATATTTTGACTTCTGCTATGATTATTCAAATGTTTGACCCTCTATGGAGTAGGTTCCGAAGGAATGGGCCAATATCATATATTTCGTATCGGACCTAAAAAGTATGATAACAATTTTTCGACGAGCCAGCTTTGAGCTATATTCGTTACTTCCTTACTTAGATATGTGATAAATTTTAGAAAATGTCAAAATGTGCGTGTGGTACCTGATATTTTCGACCGAAGTATTTCATTTTTATACCGTCCAATTCGTCATTCCGTTTATAACTCATCGAAATAATAATTTTATACATAACAAATTAAATATATTCTTTATCAGCGTAAAATTATAGGAAGATTTAGCCCTATCCGTCCGTCCATCTGTTGTAATCACTCTAGAGTCAAAACGGATAAGGATAGCAAACTGCAATCTTGCACAGATCAGTCTTATGTCTACAGGCAGGTCAAGCTCGAGGATGGGCTATATCGGTCCATGATATCGTAGAACCCCATATAACGGTACTCCCCAAATATTCGGTATTTTGATGATTGTAGACATATTTTTCAACGAAATTGTTTGAAAATCCACTTAAGGAGTTCTTTCTGAATACTTTACCCCCTGGAAGAGTATTGTCTATATAGCTCCACGATATCGTATATCTCCTTTATAACGGAACCTCCCTACATTCGGTATTTTGATAGTTTAAGCTACATTCTTCAATGAAGTTGTCTAAAAATCCATACTAGAAGTTTTTTCTAAGCACTTTACCTCTTGGAAGAGATTTGTCTATATAGGTCCACGATATCGTATAGCCCACATACACCGGTACCCCCCCCCCCCCAATATTTGATATTTTGACGATTTTATCGACATTATTCACCGGAGTTGCTTCAAATTTCGTATTTAGAGTTCGTAATGGGAACCACAGTTTATGAAGAAAATTGTCTATGCAGGCCCATCCCTTCGTACTTCGCTATATTGGGTATTTCGACAATATTTACCGAAATTGTTTGATATTTCGTATTTGAAGTTGCTAATAGGAACTACAGCCTGTGACAGAAAA